CACGTGATGACGTAATACCAACATCCATGCGAACGAAATAGGAGAGGATCAAACACGTGTATAAGAACTTATGCGACAACCTAATATTAACCACTGCCAACTCGAACTTTCTTCAGCAGTCGTGATACTCAGGGAAGCATAAGACGATTAGGGAGACATATATGAAGCAACAAATGGCAGCGAACTGAAGCAAATGACAACCCAACTAACGAGTATCCAACAGGGGATATGATTATCGCATCTGTAAGCAGAAAACGTTAAGCGATGGAACGTTTCGATGGACGGAGTGCAGAATACGAGAAGAAAGCATCGCCCGAGAGACTGCCGCCCCACTCTCTGACAGGCGTAACGCCCAACATTCATTTCCAATGGTTGTCTGGTGGTTCGTTTGTTGCTACTAATAACTCTCCCCACTTCCAACGGTGAAAACGAAGTGATAAGGAAAAATAGCCAATGTAAAGTTAAAGCCCGTGGCCTTCTCTTCGGTCTTTGCACATACTACCTCAGTTCGGCACGAGCTTAATATTTCCTCCTTTTTTCATCACTACTGAATCACCTGTTACTTTGTCAGTACTACCTGAGCCGCATAACTCACAATTTTTGAACAAGTATTTCATCAGAACACAATGTGTACCCGGACCAAATCGTGCAAAGTGGGAGTGGAGAGGCACAGCATATCAAAGAAGAAATATAGTTAGCAAGACTGTGCTGAAAAGAAAGGTACCTGTCTGCATTCCGATAGCATATGCTGCACACCTCTGACAACGCTTTCCGGCTTCATGCCAAGCTTTATCATTGCGGCCCACACCCGAGGCATTTTCACATAGAAAAACATTTCAATGGAGGACTTGCAGTTGTCGCGAGTCTCTTGTTCCTCCAGCTGAAGTAAATTTTTTTTCCAGTAACATACTTGATATGAGACAGGAAATTCGCAATAGTCGTGCAAAGACTTCGTCATACCAGTATCATGAATGAAGCGTGCAGCATGTCTGATACAATCTCGTGATGGCTGATTCCGTTAATCTGCCCAAAAAGAAGCATAGTGTCAGCCACCTAAACACTATGTAAGGTCAAATAGGAGGCAGACCGGAATTTAATTCGACACAATACCTCTTCCACCGCAGCCAAAACTCGGAAGCAAGAAAACACTGCGGTAAGCGAACGAATACCCGACCGTCGCTGCAATAGTATTTGAATAGGGATGAAAGTCATAAGAAAAAAAGAAGTACTTGTGGAACTCACAAAATTGTATTTTACTGTGATCTCAGAGCTTTCAAACTTGGGCGGATCGAATATTCTGAAACATCAAAAAGCTTCAGTTGGTGAGCATGCTGCTTGGGATGCAATTCAGATTCGACCGAAATGGGTCGACCACTTCACAGATTATCAGATTTCATATCTTACGACTGAGGAACCTGAGAATATGAGAAATGGCGACTGTATGGTTAGAGAAGTGCGCGCCAAAGGAAGGTAAAGGTTACGAAGTGGCTACTTGAAATAGAAGCAGAAGGGGCGACTCGACTCTTCGGGAAATGGGCGTTCTCTAGAAATGCCAGATCGCCGGTTCTCCTACTCTCCCGTCGCAAAGCACGAACCTTACTCCGAACTAAGCTCTTAGAGAAAGGTGTTCCAATCAAAGAAGCTCCACACTTCTAGGTTGAGGCCAAACCTTCGGCTCATAATCATTTCATCCTTCCTTCCCGCACTGAACGCTGTCCACGGCGATAAAAAAGCCAACCAATATTAAGCTAGTGGTTTCATAGGACTCTGTACAGCTTCCCAGTGTGTTGAGGATAGCTCACAGAATTCTACACAGCAGAATTGTCCCCCGGGCTCTTCGAAAAAGAGAAGGAGAAAAACATCAAATTAGTAGAACTAGGAACATGTTATGACTGGTGTTCCAATCGTTCATAACATTGATTTTTCCTTCCTCTCTGATAAAGACGCTCTGTCCATGGGCTGGATAGAGAATTCCACCACAAGTTCTATTATACAACGCGCATAAGTTCGAAACATCATTCGATCCGCACTTCGGCCACCGAAACAGAATGACATGGAAATTGTGGCCAAAGTGCCAGCTACAACAATGGCCCTAGATTTGGTAAATACGAAGTCTGTCGAACAGTTATGAGACACTGCAAATGAAAAGGATGTTGTGCAGTAAGATACCTCAAAAATGAATTTCGCAACTCTTCGTAGTCCAGCATTACACCAGAACCGTCTTGATATCGCAGGTCATACAACTTGTTCACAATTGATGACTTGATGACAGCTTAATCAATCCAGTTTGTCGCAGAACTTTGGAAAGACGCACATGAGAAAAACGAGTGCAAGAATGATTATAGAGGTTTCAGTACCTGCATACTTCTTTGTGGCTAAACACATGAGCCGAAAGACAAACGGATCATTTCAGAAAGGCAGAGAATGTTTGAAACAATACACCCTCCACATCAACCACTTCGAAATCGTCCAGATCACGGTATGCCTGCAAAACGAGGATCCCACTGAGAGACGTAATTGTAAAAGGGGAAAGAACGATGACTGACTTGTATCGCTTCAACAATCCACACAAATACGTCGATGGTTGCCTCAGTCAGTGCCAGGCACTCGCTTATATGGGAGAACGAACATCTTAAGAAATAGTTCTGACGACAAAACACGGTTTTTATGTCATGGATGTAACGTTGAAAAGACTCACTGCAGGTGTGGAAGCTCAGACTCCAATACTTCACACAGTGCAACAACACAGCGAGATCTTTGAAACTGTGTGAACCCTGTGATTGTTCTGAGCAGATCTATCCAAGAGATAAGCTTAATGTAGCATTGTTCACAATCTGGCCACTAAGACATTTCAACAAATAGGACCAGTACCTCGGAATGACTGAGCATCTTGACACATTCTAGCATCCGAAGATCTGGATATGAGGTCATCGTAGCTGCTTGGAAAAATTCTTCTGAAAATGAGCACATTGAAAACTAATTATCAGTCTCAAACTAGTCCAAAATCTTTGAATACCACTGGTAATGGGATCCCTGCCCATCTCTGGCAACTGCATCTGAATACTAGTCTTCAAAGCTTTCAAGGGGAGTCTTTCAGGTAGGCAGAGCCCCTTTTCAAAATGATTGGTTGCTTGTTCCAGAGGTTCACGCAAGGATCACAGAGTGGAGTTCATTTTCACTGCGCGCTACTGAGAGCCGAAGAAAGATGAAGAATAGGCTGATGGTAAGAACAAGCTGATGGTACGATTCCACTAGGTGACGAAATTCCTTTGTCCATGTAAGTCGAAGCCCTTTACCCGAGCAGGAAAGTATTCGAGAACAACCCGAACCCTTCATCCAAAAAACTGATCGGCTCCTTATCGCCAGGTTCGTCGAGAACTCATGGAGCCTTTTCGCCCCTCTGTAGATTTCAAAAAGCGTAGCCAAAACGAGCTACACTGTTGCTTTCCCCTAATGTACTTCTACCGTATGCAACAAAGTGGTTTCGCTTTCAGTAGCGATTAGGGGGGAAGTGATAACGCCGAAACATGAGCAAAGTAAATGTTAACATCATTAGTGGCCACAATTTTAATCAATGGTTAAGCTTTGGGACCAAGGGAAAATTCTGCCGCTGATCAGCTCCTTTTCGGATTGCGGTATGCAGTCAGTTTTCACTATGATTTATAAACGATTTCAACGCGATTTGGCCTGTACGATTACTTGTGTGAGCCATTCCAATAAGATGGGGGTTATCTTTCCACAAGGAATTGTTAGCAAACCACCGAAAGGAAGGAAGGCTATGACCACCTCGGAGCAGGAGCCGCACGGGCTTCGACCCCATTTTGCTACTACATCACCTTCTAGCGAAACCTGTTATTAGAAACCAGGTGAAATAGTAGCATGAACGCATGTCTATCATCCTGCCTAAAGGCGAAAGTTGGCAGAAAAAAAACGAAAAATAATGACATGTAAATACTGAGAAAAATGATTAGTTGGGAATCGCTTACGTGCTAAGAGCCTGAGTTCATCGGGTGTCGGCTTTATTGAGCTCAATTCTTCTCGCAACTGTGAGGACAAATCGAACAACGATCCTCGGTCTTCCCACAAACGACACACAACATCGTTGATCCACGAAGGGCGTGGGGTAGTGACCATTCCTTCAGGTCTGTGACCTGCGACGGCCAACTTACTGAAATGAAACCATAAGGGTATTAATAAGAGAAGACATACGGAAAATTCGGCACCACTCATATGCTACAGTTTCTATTTCCACAGCCTACTTGAACTTGCATTTAGTCTCTACCAATATGGAAGGGAATAGAAGAATAGATTGTTTCAATTAAACCAGCCAAATACCAGCGAAGTGCGCGACATGGACAACTAACATGACACACGACGCAAACTTCGATTCAAACGTATTACTTGAGTGTCTTCGGGAAAGATGTTCCCTACATCCGGTGCATTGCGAACGTCAACCACTCTTGAAATACTGAGGCATTGTTCACACTCTGCGGTCCAGCGTTTCTCTGAAACGCGGCGGTTCGGCGAAAAGCTTTCGATACATATCGACTGGCGGTTGGGCGAAGAGCCTGGCGGTTGGGCGAAAGGGTTTTGGTACGTATCGACGGGCGTTTCGCCAAACCGCGACGTTTTTCGCCTTCGACAAAACGCTAGCTCCATCGCGGTGGCGTTTTTCGCCAGCGAAATCGATACACATCTACTGCTTTTCGCCCAACCGCCCAACCGCGGCGGTTGGGCGAAAAGCAGTAGATGTGTATCGATTGGCGTGCGCAAAAACGCCACTGCCGAATGGAGCAGCTTTGTCGAAAGCCGCAAAAATCGTCGCGGTTTGGCCCCCGAAACCCCCCGTCATACGTATTTTTGCTTTTCTCCCAACGCTGTTTCGTTCAGGGCCTGCCGACTCGTGAACAATGCCGGACGTGACTTCGCAGATGTACACTTGGCCTCCCCCAACTGATCAAAAAAAAACAGCCGTTACTATCTCGGGCGCCGCAGTCTTTCATCTTACCGCCTTATAGCGCCGTTGCTCTGCAAACCGTATCAACGGCCAGCGTTCTCTGCAATCGCCCGAACAGGTCTTTCCATTTTACGACAAGGCAGCCCGAAAAAGATTCCTGCACCTTCCTGGATGTACGACTTGAGTGTCGCTTGGTTTTCCAATCACTCGTGAAAAATCGCTTCGACGTGTTGCCATCGAACGAGCGAGTGGATTCCTTGCTGTTGCTTCCGTGGCTACACGGACAGTTGCCCAATATTCTATTATCGATCTGTTTTTCGCCTGCCACATTTTATGAAACGCACTCTGGCTTGGCGTTTCGATAGAGGTGAAACATTTACACTATTGGAAGGAATAATTTTCGACCTTAAGGTGTATTACAGCATTTTCGTCATGCTCCATTCCCTCAACTTCGTCCATCAACTTTCAATTCAGTGATGTCTTTATTCAGAAGCACCACGCGAGGCTAAATCGGTGGGAATCGGAACTTTTAAAAGTACAGCAACAACGCTCTCATGACTTCTACAAATCTTATCCCAGTGTAAGCGTGGAATCATTTTTTGTTATCAGGGGAATCACGGGCGCACTTGGGCTGTGTTCATACTATTCGTCTACGTTTTGAGTGTTTTGGGAGAAACGTTAGCGTTTATAGTGAAAAGGAAACCATGAGTTTTGATCTAGCGTTTTGTGCTAAATTGAAAACTGCAATTTGCACTCGCTTAAAGTGCTGTACTTTCTCTCAAGATGCTGATAATGCTAGATTGATACCTATACCTTTCGCTCAAAACACTCGGTGCGCTCAAAACGCCGACGAAAAGCATGAACGCAACCTAAGAAAAAGTAAGCATCGTAATAGTTTCTATTGACGTGCCTCATGTAAATCATTTCAAGTGAAATGGCACTCAGCGAAGCCTTCCATTTTGCAGCTCCTCAGGTGTTGAAAAGTCTCACAGGGTTAGGAAATCAGAGAGGTTAGCGAATTCTTCCGTCCTCTCAGTGCCTTCCATTCTCCAGCGAATAGTGCCGAATCAAATCACAATCACAGATTCTCGGACTATCCACGATTTGTTTAAAGGCACGGTTACTCATTCTATAGACAGGTTGCTGCTTAGGTGAAATATGGAACAGAAGAATCCTTATCTAGCTTTGTTGCGGCGAGGAGTGACCTAATTATTAGACCATATCCGCACAGACTGTCTTGCCTCGTGACCGCGTCGACGTGGAACACTAACAGAAAAGCTGCGTTAATAACTTGTGGCACTGGAGAATCGGAGAGTGGCGGAACTGGGAGGAACAGAGAATGAGCGAAGAAAATTCTCACATATCGATCCGAAGAACCGGATAATCGGCGATTCTGCTGATCAATGAGCATCAAGTCTTTTTCGCGTGTCCTCCGATCCTTTCAGTTCCACGAGTTCTCAGTTCTTCAGTGTCGCAACGTATGAGTGCAGCCTAAGAGAGGAAATGTCAAGAAGCCTTTATTCATTTTTTGATCCTGGTGCTTGAAGGCACACCCGCGTTTAATATGCTGGATAGCAGGGGTCGAATTCTAACGATTAGATGGCAAATAACTCAATAGCTGAGATAAATGCAGTAAAGCCTTTCAAAACGCGCAAAATAGAACCCTGTGCTGAACCGAGCTTGCAAGCGTGATTGGACGAGTTCTCACTTGCATGCTCATGCCAGCTCTTTTTCCTTATCAACACAATAACATCATTCGAAATAGAGAGAGAGCTAGCAGCGCTACAACCGCACCAGTAGCAAACCTCTAAAAACGTTCTTATCACGTATTTCTGAGTCGCGAATGTGGTACCTACTGTTGCGGGCAGGATTACTTGTCCAAGGGCAGTGTCTGCACACCGAATGAACGTGGATGTGCCTTTGAAGTGACATAATAGGGAAAAAAGCTGACATAGCTGTGACATTAGCAGGAGAAATCTCGTTCGAATATGTACACTCTGCTGCAAGAAATGATAGGGGTCTTGCTGAAGCCTCCCTAAGGATCTTTTTACTTTTTTTTGACTGGAGGACTGGAGAATCACTTGCCGCCTTCACATTCGTGTGGATCCCGTTAGTCACCATTTGCAATTGCGAAGTGTTCCTTCAGACGCACGCAGTAACGTAGAAATATGCGAA